GGAAGTACCTAAGCCTACCTAAGCTGCCGAAATTGACGTACACAGTGATTTTCGCGAACAGTTTTATCGAAATCCATCTGAACTTACAGCGCTTACCAGCAAGCTACTACCCATTCTGAGAATAGAAAACTCGAAAACGCTCTGTATCTACAAGTTGTCTAAACAAGCTCGAATTAATTTTATCCAAGTGGTCTATCACCAAAAATGAGATAACTATGTGAAAAGTGCTTTCCATACTCAAGCGTTTTTGAGTCTCCTAGTCTCAAAATGGATAACTTACCTCGTGAAACTCAAACCTGAGCTTTCTTCTTCTTATGGCTGCCGTATAAGAAACTATGTTTAGTAGAAATCCCCTCTATTTAGGTACAAACAAACCATTACTTTCTTATCCGTGCTAAGTTCTTGAGGCACCAGACTAATGAAGAATGATCTAGATGGTAAGAGATGAAAGCTAGATCATCGCACGTTAACCGCTGCACTTGTTTTGCGATTCTCCTGCTGGAAAGAATTGTTCTCCCTTCAGTGTCCCTTATTGCCTTGAAAGTTATAGGGTTGCGCGCTTAATCGCCAGGAATTCTCGCGCGGAATACACATTTGCACTGGGACATGGGGCGTGCTCTCCGCAGCCATTTGTAACTATAGGTACGAGTTCAAGGCCCACTCAACGCTGCTCAAAAGTGCCCGAAAGCGCCCAAAAGCGCTGAATCAGTGGGCAAGCGTTAGGCAACGGGCATAGTGTCCACGATTTCGTCGTCGGGGATTTGGATGGTTTGGGCGACAAAATCGCGACGACGAAATCGCTCTTCGAGAGGACATGGGCATAGTGCACGCGATCCTAAGTTTTTGCACAGAAGCTGATTGGATTTGTTCTCATGAATATTCCGCTTACTCACTCTCAGCATCCATCATTGCTCATGCCAATCGTAATGATACTCGAGTAGAAATTTTCATTTGTTTGTCTTTCATCAAGTCCATTACTCATAAGCTTACCACTTTTTGGCAAATTCTCGCTTACGATTGCTGCCCTATGAGCTAACAGCTATAACTAGGACACTCTTCGCTAAGTTTTTGGAAGAAGCATTCAGAAGGAACATATTGGAAAGATGACGTGCGCATTTTAGCGCCTAGCAAAAATTTACTAGGAGTTTTTTAGAAATAAATTCGAGCACAGCACTAAAAGACTGCGGAAACACACAAACATAACTGTTTTGTGCTGATGCACCAGTGTCAAAAACAGAAATTCTCCTGCAATTATGTGAATTGCAAAACGTGAGATTATCCATGCGACATGAAATGACAATTCACAACTTTAGTTTGCAAAAAGCAATTACTCACAAAAAAGGCACCAAAAAACAAATTAATTTAGATCTGTATAGCAAACGGGACACACCCAACAATTACACAACTTCTTACACAAAGATTTTCTATTTCCTCAAACAAAAACGAGTTAAACATCAATGCATGTCTATGAAAGTCTCTCAAAGTCTCATTCCAACCTCAGCGATATCGCCCAGTCGCCCGTGCAGCACGCGCGACGCGACATCGCTGAGTTTTGCCGGAATCGCGGCGATTATCGCTGCAGAACTATGCCCTAGCTAAAAACGGTCCGCGATACGTCGCGCCGGACGAGTATCACAAGCGCCGTAGCAGACCCATAGACATGCAACGAGTGCGTAACAGTTGTCGTAATTCAGAAATCGCAGCGCGACGGTATCGTGGACACTATGCCCTAGGCCTCAGACCGTGGGCATATCTTACGCGATTTCAGCCGCCACTCGGTCTGCAAATTTGCCAGGTTCTTCAAATTCAATACTAGCAGGCCCCAAATGCAGGGCATGTATAGCTTTCGTAGGTTTAAAATGTCCTATCTTCCGTACATTCAGAAACCCCTTACGATGAGTTATGAATATGGCCAAGTCACGTCGCGACTGAAATCGCTTGAGGTATGCCCACGGCCTTAGGCGATAAACGTGCAAAACGCAAGAAACGTAAAGCTGTTACACACAACTATGCGCCATTTTTTTAATGGCGTCGAGTTATGCATCGGCCTCGACCCCCACCTCCCATTCATGCCACCGAGAAGTTTTGCACGGAGACATTTCTGGGATCCAAAAAACTGGGTTTGTCGCCCAACTACCCACACCCACACGAATGGGAGCCGATGATAGATGTCATTCATTCTCTGACTGGGAGATGCGAACACACTTTGCGTACATTTCATTAAGAAGTTAATGAGTTTTAACGCATTTGGTTGGGTTACTGACAGGGTTGAGCAAGAGGTCAGGCACTAGTCCTTCAAAAACGACCCCCCCCCCCCCCTGTGAAAGCCCCTAAAATAACCTCTCCACTTCAACTCCAGGACCTTAGACTGTGTTATGTTGAAGAAGACCAGCCTTTACTGGAGGGTTCTTGTTTTTTGGCAGCAGGCCCAACTTTCTGCGATTGCACAACCACACGCAACTTGACGGCAAGTTTTGAACTTGGATAGCCCTCTTTTCAGAGTTATAGTTTTTGCAGGGGTGGAGTGTTTGGCTCCAAATTTTCAATATAGCAAGAAGAGGCTTCGCTCTCAATACTAATACTAAAAAAGGAACGATTTTTGAATATTGAAGGTAAGTTAAGGGGGTCAGGCGCAACCCCTCAAAAGCTCAGGCGGCCTGACCTTTTGAGGGGTTGCGCCTGACCCCATTAACTTTATTTTCGAGGAAGCTTTTCTATCCAAGTTTTATGTGATTCGCTAGCACAACTCTCGTAGATTCCACAATAAGTGTTTGAGCTTGTTTCAACTTGTTTCGGCCTTGTAGTAATCCGTAGAGTTAAAGCACTTAATGTGAAGAACGCGCCGGTTGGAGATTTGGCAGCACTTCTTACTTCACTATTTGAAAGTGATATGAAGCCTGATTTCTAGCATAGACTTGTAGGGAACGATACTTTGTTACGAGTATAAAAAAGCTGACTATTTTCACTTTTGAAGCCAAGTTAATCATGTTTGAACATCACGCTTTCTAGACGTTGCAAAACACTAGGAAATGCGGTAGGTAATGACTTTAGAGCTCATAGAGGTAATCTGACATGCTGATTACGGAAATAATACCCATTTCACACAGCAAGCTTACTTGGCGGCCTCATGATGTGTGAAGGTAAAAGATGAAGACTTGAATTTGGCTGATTTCGATTGTGTAAACAATCGGTATGCTGTTCACGACCGTTATTCCTTCAGTACTGGTGATAGTGATATCCATCGGACTAGGGCTTTCTTCTTCACCTTCGTAGTATCTCCCCAACTAAACGGATTCGGTTCTTAATTACGACCCCCCCCCTCAGTCATACCCCAAGACGACCCCCCAGATCGGGCGCGCCTGACCTCACGCTCAGCCCTGGTTACTGTTAGAATTCGTGGAAGAACGTTTGAGCTCGTTAAACACGCTGGCTTGATCCTGTTAGTAATCAACCAAAACGCGTTAGAACTCATTTATGAACTTGTTGACCAGACGTACGCAAAGCGTGCTCGCGTCTCTTATTGTTAGCCAGAGAATGAATGACATGTATAAGCTCCTGCAAGACGAAGGCGGTCGGTTCGATATGCAACGCGGCTGCGACACAGCTGCGTCACAGCCGCGTCACAGCCGCGTCACAACCACGTCACACATCGAACCGACCGCCTTCGTCTTGCAGGAGCTTATACAGTCTGCCCCAATCCCAACCAGGCCAAAATTGGCATGGCGGAAGTCCGCGTCGCTAGGCTTCCGCGGTCACGCCCACGTCCTGCTTCTTTGCTCTCTCTGCTTGCTTTTGCTCTCTCCGACAGCGTGCATACGCAGAGCAGATCGCTAGCGCTGCGAGCGCGCAAATTTAGGCCGACGGTTCGGCCTGATCCCGATTGGAACAGACTGTATATCGTTCGGCGCTAGCGTGCTAATGCTTTTAGGCTAGGTGGAATATCTGTGAGGAGAGATAAGAGATATGCGAAGAGTGATCAAAATAACTTGACGCTTTTGAGAGCCTTCGTGCGCGAACGAAGGCTGACAGATGCCTCAGCGATGGCCAAATTCGGCCAGCGCACTGGCATATTTTGGGAATCTGCCGCGCTCCAATGAGCGAAGTTGCGCGACCGCTCGCCGTCTTCGCGATTCCTCATGCCTGCAACAAATAAATCCGCCTCATTTCCTTTTTTCAAAACATGTCGCACTTCTCGATTTGTCTTTGTGCTGGTCTCACTGTCAGTTTTCTTGATGCATTGAAGAGTGCGAAATGACGATAATTTTTTGTCTGTGAACTTGGCTGAAGGCGCCTCATTGTTTTGATTGCTTAATCTGGGTTAAAAAATTTCCTATCGTAGTTGGATACCAGTACAACTCCTTAAGAGAATGTTTCACATATCACTGGCGAGTTGGTAACTGATGCATATAACCTGGCTCCTTCAGACACTGATCTCGAATCTGCTTCCTGCTTTCTACGGATACCTCTGGAAAATTTCATAAACAATTTCATAATTTCATAACCTAGATTTACTAAGTGGTGGCGTCCTTCTGTAGTCGATATATTTAACATTCCGAATTTGCTTTCTTATCTGCGGTCAAGTCTGAAATCTAAGCGTTTGAAGCCCCAGATTCACTAGGTTGGAAGTGGCATACGATTAACGAAAAGCGATTCAGAAGTACACGTTCGGCATTCCAACAAATTCCTTCCCTATAAGCGATATACTCAGTATTACTTATAGCCCTTTCTCAGGCTGTCTTTTATCTTTGATCGAAAGTTCAACAAGCTCATGGTTTCAAGTTCTTAAAGCTCCATTAGGCCGTGGTCAGACTTCGCTCAAAAGCGCCCAAATTTCTCTAATCTTTCTCATCTCTCCTCACACGAGAAAGTGAAGCGATAGAGAAATTTGAGCGCTTTTGGGCGCTTTTGAGCGAAGTCTGGCCGGGTTATCCGTGATAGTAAGAATGCTGTAAAAATGCTTCTTTATGCTAAGTTCTTTTTAGCTAGCAACGCTGTTGCAGAAGTTTACCATGTCAGTTGGCGATGTTGACGTACGAGACGTGGGCATCAGCGCTATCGAGATTTACTTTCCAAGAAATGTTGTCAACCAAAAGGATCTGGAGCAAGTCAGTTTTTCATATGCGTTGATCCATGGACCATTGGTTTTGTTTAGTTTGATAAATGTTCCCCCGGTAAGTACACTATCGGTCTAGGACAAGAGCAGATGGGGTTCTGCGGTGACAATGAAGACATCGTGTCCCTTTCGCTTACAGTCACTGATGCTCTTCTTCGCAATTATAATGTATGTGCTACGACTTCATACTAATTTGTTTTTATCGAACTTATTTTCAGATTGATCCTTCCTCTATAGGCTTCCTAGCTGTGGGGACAGAAACGCTTATCGACAAGAGCAAAAGCGTAAAGACGGAGTTGATGCAATTATTTGGTGACAATTTTGACATAGAGGTTGGCGATTTGCTTTCTCTTTCTGTTGGTCTCGGAAGATTTCGTTTTTTATCACCACGCATGTAATCTTACTTCTGTTTTCTTTTTTCGTATATGAATGAAAAGTGTATCCTAGCAAAGCATAACACTTTTCTGGAGTCTTGTACGGATGCAAATATAGTTTCCGCCAAATCTCAATCCACTTCTTCACATATCGTTCATTCGTTGACCGTACGGACTGCCGACCGCGTGGCGACTGCGACGCGTGCCTTCTAAACTTGCGAAAAAGTGACAAGTTGGACCGTGGCTTAAGATGAGAAGAATTCTTTGTTTCTTTTCTGCTTTATAAAGATGAGAAGAATCCTCTGTTTTCTTTCTATTCATCTTTTCTACGAAAACATCATGCACGCGCAGCGGTCGCCGCGCGGTCAGCAGTCGTTACGGTCAACGAATAAACGATACAATTTCTGTGGTTACGGTATGTAAACTGTGCGAGGATCTGAACCCAAACTTGCTCCAAAGTTTCTGAAGAAGTCGTTTAGACAGAGCTTTAAGCAAAAGAGTCTTGTCCCATTTTCAGAAGGCTATCTACGACTAACCAGTAGTGCTTAAAATTGAACTTTCTGCCGAAGTTGGGTGGGTTACAGTCAGCCATTCCAAAATACCATAGTTGTGAATAGCATGCTGAAGACGTTTACACAGAGCTCTGAACAAAAGAGTCTTGTCCCATCTACCGTAAACCACCGGGATTCCAAGAAGGCGCCACCATGAGAAACCAACAGGTTTTTTGTGTGGAGTGTCACATAGGTTCTTTAAGCAAGCAATGTACTAGCAAATATTTGATTTTGGGTCAATAATCTTGGAATAGCACCAATCAATTCAGGCGCTCGCATGTTGGTGCTATGGTTTTCATGAATCTGAGAATCCTATTGCACATGCGTCATTGTTTTTTTTATTCCCATACTTTACGTCCAATACACGTAATAAATAATAAAAAGAAATTCTTTATCTTAATGAATCCTCACTTTTTGGATACACCACAAAGAAGTTCCAAAGCATCATGTGGTGAGAAATCAACACATCAATACATACGTTTTCTTCTCTCAATCATCCATCGTTTCAGCCCCTCAAAAGATTTTATATTGGGTGGATTGGGTTCGTTATAGTTGAGACAATGTTGACATTGCTTTCTTCCATATGTATTGAGCTGCGGCTATCATTGTTTCTGTACCTTATCAAGTGTTTTCCATGACCGCTAGTGAAGTCCAGTCAGCAGCGATAACATGTCGGCGATACCATGCTTTAGTTGATAGGTGCTGCTGTAATATTTTTCGGTTTCCAAATTATCTCTTTCGCTGCTATCACTTGGGCGATCCAAGCCATCGCGACGCTCTTATTTGTTCAGTGTGCACAAAATTTGTTGAACTTTAGAATGCGCTAAAGCATGAGAATGAAATGTCATCAAAATAGCATACTTTATTGACACAGACTGATTTTTTTAGGGCGTTGATGTCAAGAATGCTTGTTTTGGTGGCACCCAAGCTGTCTTCCATGCGGTTGACTGGATCTACGCGAATTACGGCACTGAGAGGCGTAATGCTATCGCGGTTTTAGCTGACATAGCCGTATATGAACCAGGACCTGCTAGGCCCACTGGAGGTGTGTTTCTCAAGCAATCTTCTACATAGACATTTTGTTAAAGTTTTTAATTGCTTATTTCGAGTGAACTTGCTTCTTTTTCAAGGTGCTGGTGCCATTGCTGTACTTATAACGCCGAATGCTCCTATTGCATTTGATCGGGGACTACGAGGCACGCATATGGCCAACACTTGGGATTTCTACAAACCAATCGGTCAGTATTAACTTTCATTTATTTCCCTACTTCTTATATTCTTTTACCTACATTTGGTTTATCTGATATTTTGCTTATTTGCTGTCCGACAGTACCGTTCTTTCTGCTTACTACTTTGCTTCAGTATCAAGGGGTACAGAATATCCAGTGGTTGATGGCCCAGTGAGTCTGCATTCTTATATGATGGCGCTTGATGGCTGTTACCGCGCATACAAAGAGAAGGCTGCGAAGATCTATGGGCAAGGTCAGCTACAGTTCACATTACTTTTGAGGTATTAGTTATGATGTTAGGTTTTAGATATATCGTTGGCGTCATTCTCTGCAGCTATGTTCCATTCTCCGTTTACACGCATGGTTCAGAAAGCATTGGCGAGATTGACGTACAGGTAGTTCGCGCTTATTTGTTGTGGCTGAAGACACAATCATGATCTTTTGGTGACATGCATAGATTCAGCGCTCGCTATTTCATTTCCTTATAGGGATTACGAGGGCGGAAGAACGGAGTACCAGACTTCTTATTCAAAACTTAGGTTAGTAGAAAAATAGGAATGACTATCAGACCTTCTAATTGATAACTGCTACTTTCTAGCTTATTATCGCCTTCTTCCTTCGAAGATCGAGAAGTGATGAAATGTCTTTTGAAAGGCTCTGAAGAAGAATGGAAAGCCAAAACCGCCCCATATCTCGAGCTAAATCGTCGCATCGGCAACATGTACACGCCATCACTATTCGCTCAACTCATTGGATATCTTGCTTCAGGGTAAGACACTATCTTTTACATTGATTTGAAGGAAACGTCATGGAAATTTGTTAATGTTACGATTGTAGTAAGACTCGTGTTATAGTTCCTTTTTCGTGGAGAAAGTTAATCTTTTTGTTAGTGATGCTGCTTGGGCTAACAGTTCTGTGTATATCCCTCTCATAGCCTGTATACCTTTTAGTCGAGAGTGGAAGTGAGAGTGCATTATAGTTTCGTGTATGCTCTTTGGTATGTTTTGGGTTAGTTTATTGGAGCCATCATGGGGCTTTACTGAAAGTACGAAATTGTGTGTTGAAGCGGGTAGAGGAACGAACGGCGAACGCCTCAATTAGGCATCGCCTCCGGGCTGCTGGTCCTTTCGGGACCGGCCATACTATTCCTGTGATTCCTGCAATTCCTGCGATTCCTGTGATTGCTGCGGATCCCGTAACAATGTGTATTGCGAAGAAACAATGTATACTGAAATTCGCAAAGGCTCCGTAGTGTGACACATCGGAAGTTGAGGAATCACGAGAACTGCAGGAATTACAGGAATCGCAGGAATCATCTCCTGGAATAGTATGGCCGTTCCCTTCGTCTTACTGTTGCGCATCGTGTTGGGACCAGTGGTCCGCGGAGGCGGTGCCTAATTGAGGTGTTCATTCCTCCACCCTGTTGAAGCTTGAAGGAGGCAGGCTGTCGTTGTCTCAATCGAGGATTTTGGTTCTTTCTACCGCTCTTCGTCAAAATCTCTTTCATTTCAGCCATGTTTAGGATTTATGCCATGTATGGAGTCATTTCACGACCGCATACATGCGTTATGTTCTTAGTCGAAGCTTATATTACAACTACTTTCACTGAATGCTCTCTCTAACTTTTCATTATATACATCCATTGAATTCATATGCTGTTGCAGACATTCCGATGCACAAAATCGTGTCTTGTTCTTCGCATACGGCAGTGGCTCGGCAGCTGCAATGTTTTCGGCATCTATCGATGTTTCCAGCGAGCCGTTAGTACGTATGGTTGAGGTTTCACGGAATGCTGTAGGTTCACCAATCTTTTACCTTTATGCTTTTTCGTGTATCCGCTACTTGTCACATAACACTTTTTCAGATTGCTCGACTTGAGGATCGTTGTATTTTCACACCGGAGAATTACACAGAGATCCTGAAATTACGCGAAGATTTCCTGTCATCGGGTGGTGAGAACTTTGCTTCTGCTTTCAGTAAAACTACGTTTTCTCTTTGATCAAACACTCAATTTGTGTAAAGTGCTAATACGAGCCATCATATCGTTTTTGTGTGGCGGTGATGCTGTACTTTTTGAATCAGCGTGTGGCTTGTTGAAATCATATTTCTGTTGCTTCGTTGTACAAATATGCATCTTCTTAGTGTTCAATATATGCACTTCAGTGCCCACAACGCCGAAATGCAGCTTTCCGGAACATCCTGCATCCAGTCTGTTCCCGGGTACCTACTTTCTTGTGGCAATGGATGAGAAGTATAGGAGGACTTATGATCGTACATCCTTGTCGGATCATTCACTGGCACACTCGAATGGCTGCGTTAATGGAATTGACAGCACTAATGGGAACATTGGCGTATGAGATCAGACGAAAGCTATCACGTTTGATAGTCTTAACATCTATTCTCAAACAACAAGTGAATCAGACATCCTTTTGACTTCTCTTGTCACTTAGCGTTGATCATATTGCATTTTTTGTGTTCTCTCACGTTTTCGCGGATTTCTGTGGGAGTTCTCCAATCAAAGCCTAGTTTTTGATGCAGGGTTGCATTGAGGTTCGTGCTGCTTAATTTTGCTTTCATCTCTCGATTCTAAACGATTTTTCGGGTCAACCAAATTTGCTTCCACTAAGCGCGATTATTTCTCATTGTCTATGTCCTGCGATTGTGATAATTCGACTAGAAGCTTTTTTTGTAATACTAAAGCAAAGATTTCTACGTTTTATAATGAACTAGTAAATCTCATTGTTGCGTCTGGGCACATTTGTTGGACCTCACATATGCTTTGTTATCTGTCTTGTTGAGTTTGCAAGTTCCTATCTGTTACATCACCATCGTGCCTCTTCTGGCAATACATGCCGCCAGTTTTCTGACTGTTGTGATGGTTGTCTATGCGTTTTTATATTGAGTGCTCATCTTCCTTTAATGTACCATGGTTAGTATCATGAAATGTTTCTTTGAGTTCATAATTTCTTGCTATAATTACACGTTGTTAGATCTATATGAGTTATCGAAATAGGTTTTGAATGAAATTGTATAATATGTAGATTTCTAGGACAAATATCTCGTTTGTTCACTTCACTGCATAAATTACTTGAAAGATATGCATACATGTGACAGTCTGGTGAATAACCGTTTATATTTTTGTTAACTTAAATTTGATTTTTGTGTTTTCATTAGCTTGAATTTAGTCTAAGATAGAGAGGGAGTGAATATAAATGTAGTTTTCCCATTTGGTAGCAGATTTTTGTTTACAATTGAATTGTGTCGGTCAAATACGGTAACTGAAGGAATATGAATTTAAGTGGTGTACTTTTTTGACATAAACGGAAACTTTATAGCTGCTTTGTCCCCAGAAATGACTGACCTCAAACATTAGTTTCTGAATGAGATCACGTGTTTCTCTTCGGGTGTTCGAGGCTGTCAAAATGGGCATGAGAGCGAAGTTTCCAATGTTGCTCTCATGCCCTCTATCATAAGGAACGACGAGAAAAGCTAGTTTGTAGTGAATTTATAGAGAGTTATCAATTAGGAAATCCACTGCATTTGTCGCATAAGTCGTTGCTAGTAGACAGTTTCACTTAGTTCATATGTTGAAATCACATTGCGGAAGTATCCTGTATTTTTGAGAAAGAAATCGCGTCAACTTGTAGTGGTAGCGACCAGATGACCAGTCATTCGAGAAGCCGCAGCGGTTCGAGATCATCTGGACGTTCACGTCATAGACATGGGACCCACTCGCGAGACGGTTCTCACCCTAGAAGCCGTTCAAGAAGACGATCGTCTAGCACATCGAAGAGTCGCCGCAGTCATGATCGGCGTAATACTGAAAAAAGGTAGGTTGACGTTTTGATTTTCAATTTGAGCGAGTAGGCTTTCTCTGGAGGAAAAGAAATCGACGTTTTTGTACAGTCATCGGTGAAATGTGCTTCTCGCACTCGCAGATGTTTCTTGTTCATCATCTTCTTTCTGAACATCTCACGGAAGATTTCTTAGACTACATTTATGTTTACAGTATGGATGCAAGTCCTAATAGCCGCTCAAATAGCCACTCACCGTCGCCATCAAATGGTAGAGGAGATGAAAGCTCTCCGACACGTCGAGACAGAGGTCGCTCGGTGTCAAGAAGTCGCAGTGAAAGTGACCACGAAACGAGGAGCCGAAGGTGGGTTTTACGGGTAAATGAAGTTACGCATGTGATTGCTAAAAATACTGCCGAACCTCGATGTTTCACAAAGGTGTTTCGGGACTCTCAGTCAAAGTGTGTTGAATCGAGTAGTAGTTGTGTGTTTTTCTAATGTTTCACAAATGTGTTTCGAGACTCTTAGTCAATGTGTGTTGAATCTGAGAAGTAGTTGTGGACACCTACCATGTTCTTGCGGACCTCTCTGAAATAATCCGATACCACAGTTGTAGGCAACCTATAACCAATATGTTACATGAGAACCGATCGAATTTTAAAATTTCAGCCGCTCGCGCTCTCCTGATTTCGAAAGAAGCGAAGTATTGCGTGATTCTTGGGCTGCATTGAAACGACAGCCCGACAACTTCGATGCTTGGATCATGATTCTTACTCAGGCGGATCAGTCTGTATGTGACTTTCTTCGAATATCTTGTGCAAAAAGCACAGATGACATCTATTTTAGAATGATCTGAAGCTAGCACGAGATATTTATGACCGATTCTTGAAGAAGTATCCCTATTGTTATGGCTTCTGGAAGAAGTACGCTGAAATGGAACGCCGCCATCAAAATTTTTCTGATGCTCTCAGCGTATGCCTTATTTACCATACCGAATTTCTTGTAGATTGGTTTTCATCAATTATTAAGGTATGGGAACGTGGAATACTTGCTATACCATTATCTATCGATTTGTGGCTTGGGTTCCTTTCCTTCATGAGAGAGTTAGCCCCACAGTCAGATAGAGGGATAGAGAAGTTAAGAGAGTAAGTCAATTGCATAGTGTGTAGTTCGTTGTCGTTTGCTAATGATTATGAATTTTCAGGTTGTACGATAGAGCTGTTTCGACTGCCGGTCATGAATTTCATAGCGATCGTCTTTGGCAAGATTATATCGCTTGGGAAGAAGCACAAGGAGAATGGCGTCGTGTAGCTGAAATTTATGATCGTCTAATACGCATCCCTACTGCTTTGTATAAAAGTCATATGGAAAGGTAAGCAAAGGATGCATGCAATTTTGTACAGTACTCTGGAATTTCTTAAGCAGTGAAATTACTGAAGTCCGCAGTGCTTACTCGGTGTTCCCATGACTTTTCTGTTAGTTCCTCTGTTCAAACAGTTTGCACTCAGATAAGGACATGTTTCTGGCCCCGACGTTAATAACTTGTCTTAAGAAACAAGATTGGGTATTTTTAGATAAGATGGAGAGTCACGTCTTTGATCTGCATTGGCACTATCATAGGTTGCTCCAATGCTAGGATGTAGTGCCAACTCTTTCTTCATCTTAATTTATCCACACAACTTCAACACGAATTCTTATTTTTTGATGTTTCGTTTTGAGCGTGTCCGAATATCAAGCGGCTCAGTACCACGTATACACAGCGCTCTTCTTGTTTCTGAAAATTCCAATGGCTCTCTGCTAGTTGTTGACAGACCAGTTTGCAGATTTTCTTCTTGTGTTATTGAAATTTGACATACATACTTTATTGAAACAGAATTTTTTGTCAAAATCAGAATAATTGCATTTGTCAGGATTTATCTTCTGGATTGTGTGACATTTTCATTTTCAGATTTGAAGCAATTGTGAATATGTGCAACCCCATCGACTTGGTATCGGATGAAGAACTTCGTGAAGTGTTCGATGTGGTCCGGCGCAAATGCGATGTGGGGGTAATTACGAACTAAATGAAAAGTAAAACTTGGTTAATCCAAGGGGAGCATTGAGATCGCACGGTACAGCACTATTTTTTGGTTAGCTTCATAAAATAGTCCACTCCTCTGACGAGTATTTGCTGTGCTTTCTTTAGGCTGTTAATTTTGTTGTCTGCGACAAATACCCCTTAATCTATTTGATTGATTAACTTAATTGGGAAAACACGTTGTCCGTTGTCGATCTTACGTCATTAAAGGAAGGTGGTTTTTGGGGAAATATCTCAAATGTGTCGCGGCTGAGTTGCAATGGGGTTTGAATTTCTTCATATTAGGAAACAAACACGAATCCTAATTAACCATTTTCGTCAATGTGATTTTTTAGAAATTATGTCTGCAAAACGATGACATTGATGAAGTCGTTTTTGGATTGATGTCGGTAATGCTTGATTTGCCTGCCACTTATGCCCGTCTGGTTCCACACAGGAACAGACTGCAATAGAAATAGATAAAGAAGAATTTCTATCGTATGCATTGATTTCAAATGAAAAAGTAGCTGAATTTTTCTGCGGAAAAAAGTCAGAAGTCGGAAAGTAGAAAACGTGCTTTGCAGGGTTGAGTCTGTGAGGAATCAGCAGGTTGATAGACCTATTAGAGAATCTCTTAGAGCCACTTTGCTGGTGTCAAGGGAATCTTGGATACCTGCCTTCCATTCAAAACTCGGTCATGCGCTATATTTTCTCCCTTTCTGGCTGTTGGGATAGCTTTTAAAGAGCAAATTGGATATTTGCGTTGAATGTGCTGTACATACTACTTACAGATCGATCAGGTAATCATTGAGGAACCCGTCGAGCCGAGTGCAAGTGCAGGCGATGCTATAGATTCAAACGGTACACAAGCCAAAACACGTAAGAAAGTAAGCGTTGTTCGTTGATAGGACCATTACCAGTTTTATGATAGAAGCCCTGAGATGAACAGCGGTTTGAGTTTTATATTGGTTGCCAACAGGCAACCCGAAATTTTCCAGTATTTTTGAAATAGTGTTTGTGCGTTACGCAAATTTTGCGGGGTCATCAGTGTACGGAGCTGTGTGGGCAGCGCTGTCTAAGAGGGCTATCGCAGTTCGCTTTTTTATTCTCATTTTAACGATTTTGCATACATTCCTACTCATCAGTGATATTGGTGCAGCGTTGAATACGACATGCACATTTGTAGGCAACTTGTAGTCAAATTAGTGGGTTAGCTTCTGTTTCAAGTTTGAGCACCTGCCTCTATCGCCTAGCTACCCGGTTTTCTGTGGATGACAGTATTCAGTATAATTTTTAACATCATCAAATGGGATTCGAAATTTCAGTGTTGAGCGCTCTACTATGTTGTTGCGAAATTTTCGAAAATTGCTTGCTACAGATTCATCCAGAAGCTGTTCCGCATTTTCGAACTGAGATCTTGGCTCAGCGTTATCGTTGGCACAAAGAAACAGAGGCAATGATTATTGCTCGAATGCCATTTGAGGACCAGGTGGGTCAAGGTTGCTTTTCATCTAGTCTTGTACATTGTGCTCGGTATTCAGATAAAAAGACCTTATTTCCACGTGAAGCCTCTTGAATGTGAGCAGCTGAAAAATTGGCGTTTATACCTCGATTTCGAGATAGTCGAAGGAGATGAGCGGAGGATCACCGTCCTATTTGAGCGATGTCTTATCGCATGTGCTCTGTATGACCAGTTTTGGACCAAGGTTTGTGCTTAGATTTTATGCAAGTTTTTCTTACTACTTGCTTCAACATTTGCAGTATGCTCGATGGACGCAGAAACAGCGTGGTGCTGATGCTGCCCGCGAAGTATATCGTCGCGCTCAACAGCACATTCCTGGGAATGTTCGCGTGGCCCTCGCCTTCTCAGCGTTCGAGGAGTCTCTTGGTATGACAAAATCTTTCAGTTTTCAATTTTCTGCCCATTTGAGCTAGACAAGTAGGACTTGCTTGGAACAGCGTTCGCCTCACTTAGGAAAATTTGCAACCCCTAATGTGACACTCTAGTATCTAGTTTCCAGTGATTTAAGCTACTACTTGTGTATTGGCAAGTTTATCACCCTTACCATTGATGATGATTGGTTCTCTCTTGAGGCGTCACATGAGGGGCGGGGATAGTATCTGTCTGAACCACGCGTCTCGGTACGAGCTGGATCTTCTGACAAGAATCCATCCTCGCAAAGGAAGTGATCATTGTGATCTAGTGATTCAATTGAATGCTTGTACAAGTTATGACATAGAGTAAAGTATAGAGTAGACATATCCGACTTCGTGACTGGTCGCTGTCTGCCACCATTCAGAGATGTTTGCAGACCATTCAGGTATGCGATGTTTGCAATATTTTCCTCTCATGTGATGGAAATTGATCGGTGCAAGAAGCTTGTTCGCTTGCTAAAATCTCCAAGTTATTGAAAGTTTCTGTTAGGGTGCCTCATAATTTTTTAATCGTTTTTACTACAATTGCCGTCTCTTTGTATCTTTCCTTCATACGATGTGGCTTGAGCAATCATTCGACAGGACAAAGCAAGCTCTACGAGACGACTGTCAAAAGTCTGCTCAAACCGTATATACGTGAAGTTTTAAGCTGAAATCTGATAGTCGTCGTAAACGAAATCTTCTGCCAAAAATCGAATCTCCGCCCCAAAATATTTTAAAAAAATTCCTCGTCCATCCTAGCACGCTTTGACACATCGCACATTCAGTTGTACACTTTCCGAGTTTTTTTCGACGGCTAGAAATGAAAAAATCGTTGAGGTAAAATAGCAAACTCTGCCCCTAGACGTCATGAGCTCCTCCCACGCATGTGATCATATAGCTCATACATACAGAAGTACCATCATGTTTTTGTGTCCTTTTTAGGTGCCCAGTTCTCGAGAAGTGCTGATGTTTAGGGTGGAAACGGTAAAAAATTGTGAGATACCCTAATAGATAATGGTCACTAATGTATCCGATTTGCTATTCCAAGAATTTGAGCCATTTGAAGTACTGGATACACAACGCTAGCTTTCGTGTTATCGCCGACGTGAGCTTCAAAGTTTGTTAGAATGAAATGCATTGCGGGGATAACTTGGAACTGCTTCCAGGACCAGATCGTATTGCTCTTGTTTTGTTCCTTCACTGCGTTTTGAGCTAGCATATCCAGCGAAAAAAGGGCCAAAACTCCTACACGAGTAATTTAAAGAGTTCGGGAAAGGAGCCTTTTCTTTCACAATAATTTCCGGGCACAAAAACGAGTCCGGAACCATATGGATTTTGCTGGCATGCTTACTTAGAGTTCCATTGGCTGGTGGAAAGCAAATATAAATTTTTGGCGCACTATTTATTTGAATTGTGTGACCAAATTGCAAGCTATTATTTTTTGAGCATGCAAGCTATTATTTTTTGAGCCATTTCTCTGAAGAGAGCGGTTCACTACTAAGCTGAACCTGCTACTTGTATCGTCACCGTCATCTTCTTCTTGGGCTATGAAACGTCTCAAATCACGTCTTCTAATTTGTCATGACTATTCTTTACTTTCTATTTTGATAATGCATAATGCGTTGATTTATACAAGGTGTTCCAAAACAGTGGCGTACCCAGGGGGGGGGGGGGGATGGGCGGGGGGGGGGGGCGCCCCCCCCCCCGAGAATGGGCGCGAAATTTTTGAAACTTACTTATAAGGGTTATAAAAATGCGCAAATGACTTGTTTATACTTGTAAATAATTAGAATAATTTTTAAAGATTTTTAAAAAATCAAATAAGCATTGTAAAAAATTTTTTTCTGGGGCGTGGCTGACGTCACGCCCACTTTTTCCAGATTTTAGGGGTTGGGGAAATTTTTCTCCGGGGTCTCCGCAAAAATTTTGAAAAGCACCCTTAAAATTTTTTCGGAGTGCATGGCTAACGCCACGCACCATTTGAAAAAAATTTTCGTCGCGCCCCCCCCTCCCCCCGGGCGGAAATCCTGGGTACGCCACTGTTCCAAAAGTATGTACACACCATCTGATCGTTGATTCTCTCTCACAAATATTGCGTTCACGTACTATTTTGTAGAATTGTTTACCATTTAGATTTATAGTATCTTGCGAATCACGGCTCCTTCTCCATGACTGTAGGATTACGTAGGAACTTCAAGAAGGCTTTTGTCACTGAGGATCATATTTCTTCTCACAAAGAGAGAAGCAAGCTGTAAACTATATGTTAGGGCAATAAAGGTCACTGACCTTGAATATGAAACATGCACATTACCAGTGCTTCTATAATTAACTCAGGAATACCATAACAGCTGTTTGTTGTCATCCTTCAAAAATGTGATTACGCCGTCAGAAAGCTTGGAATATTTGCAAAAGACTGAGTAGTGGAATCAGCGTGCGTGAAAACCCCAGATTTCTTCAAAATCTACTCGATACGATTTATTTGAATTCGCTTTATGCTGCAGCCACCGTAATCCTACACTAATGAAGGGCAATCAGTGATTCGCACCACATTGTGAGCTTTAATTAAAGGCAGTGTCTCACCAAAATTTAGTTGTCGAGATTTTTGCATTTTGCATGCCTGTCGGACCCTGTCTAGCACTATATGGGCTTAAAATCGCACGAAGTTCCCAAAAACCCCGCTTTCTGGAGACCCCGCGAAAGCAACGTGGACGAGTTGTACCTTCCAACTTCAGCCTCAGCCACAGTGGCAGCAACAGAGTGGAGGTGGATGCCAAGTGGAGGGACATGTTCAAACGCGTAAGAGGGGAGACCGAAGGAGTGGTCCGCGCGTACCAACTCGCTCTCCGCGTACCACTTTGAGCGAGTTTTTTTTTCAGCGTGGAGGGGGTCGAATTGAGTGGAACTTGCTGCAGTGGCCTATTTAGACGTCCCTATATAATATGTGAAGATCCGCGCGACCTCAACTTTGGTGAGACACTGCCTTTGAACACAGCTCTATAGAATACCTATCCCAATACCTGGTACCTAATTATTGGCAAAATACTTTATGGAGAGTAACGATCAAATCTCTGTACATGCTTTCGGGACACCCTGTATCATTCATTCTCTGACAAAGAGACGCGAGCACGCTTTGCGTATGTCTGATCAACATGTTTATGAGCGCGTTTTAACGTCTTCTGGTGAATTAATAATAGGAATTCGTGAAAGAACATATTCGAACTCGCGTTGTTCAATTTGCTCGAACATGTTCTCCACGAATTCTAAAACTAAATCATTCAAAACGTGTTAGACCCTTATGAACATGTTAATCAGACGTACGCAAAGCGTGCTCGCGTCTCTTAGGCAGAGAATGAATGATATGTTGTAAAAGTGGCACAAAAATGTACGGTTCCATTCTTTGCATTTTTCATCTATCTCATCAAATAAGATAGCGGTAGGGAAGCACTTAAAGCAGGTGATGCAACTTTTCTTCCCAGCATCTACTGACTTCTCGTTCTTTCGACTTACTGCAGCATTTTGATAAAATTGTTTCAGAATCTTATTGTAAAGCTGCATAGCTATGTGAACAATTTCTCTCAGGTTCCAAATTGCCTAGTGCCTAGAGTTTTCTGATTTTCTGTAAGCTGTTTTGGCATAATGGTAAGACATATTCGCACCAAGATCCAGAAATTGATCCCCAGCTCATGAACGAAATTTAGGTGTTGTAGACTAGAGAAGCCACTCTGGCTAATATACGAGTTTTAATCAATAATGTCTGAGATATTGCTAGAACATACGTGATTCGGCTAGAAAAGATTCGTTCAGTAGTTCAAAAAAAAAAAAGAAAACAAAAAACAACAACAAACAAATAGTCGGTCGAGGAGATCATTGACATGCCTATTTTGCATGCTTTAAGCTTAACTAACTCGAGAATTTGGTCAGCTAGAGTTAAGCAAGGAAAAGCTACAAAGTGCTTCAAATGTTTGTCATCATTTTGCAAACATGTTCGTAGATCGAAAGAAACGAAACGAGCATTAAAGTAGATGTTGCCATCGACTATCAAAGCATCGAAAAATAATTGGCTTTTGCATTGCAAGCACTTCACGTGAACAGGTGGTGGACTGTTGCTTTCGAAAAAGGACCATAGCGGGAATTGTAAACAAGTAATCACGCTCCGCAGAGTTTCAGAGTGAACAATATGATTACTACTGAAAACTGCACTTTTGTAAATTTTGGATTGAATCTGGTGTGGCTCATGGTTTTTTGAAAACATCAATTTTGCATGTTGCAAGCTTCATGTTGGGGAACGGAACTTACATACACAATAAGGTTGCCGCTGCCTAGTTAACACGAGAGGTCATGAACTGGCAACAAGGCTAATTTGCACTCAATTTGCACCGAAGATGAGCTGATTCTGCTTATGGTAACTCCTTCATCATCCTGCAGCCTATGAAACCGGTACTTCTTTGGAATTTGAATTTAAAGTTCAGTGATAAAATCAGTCCAATCAGGGCAAAAACTAGTATTTGGGGGTATTACACGCTGATTCCGAATGTTGATCGTTTTGCTTGAGACCTAGGACAATTTTCTTTTTTGAATTGAAACTTGTTTCCACAAATAAAAATTTCAAAAATCCTACGTAAGGGTTTTCTGACATGCTGTTTCCCAAAAAGCTGATGGTTTTGCTTGAAACCTCAAAAATTTTCTATTTTGGCAAATTTCACAGTTAGGGTTTTTTGACATGCTGTTTCCAAAAGCTTCCATTTTATTTTCTTAAGCATGGCAGATTTTTCCGTTTGTTTTCCAGGTTTATCTAATTTTTGCAGTGAAACTTCCGAAAAAGAGTTTGAAATTCAAAATAGAAAAATATCCTAGGTTTCAAGCAAAACGATCAACATATTCGGAATCAGCGTGTTAGAGTACCCCTAAATACTAGTTTTTGCCCTAATTGGACTGATTTTACTACTGAACTTTGAATTCAAATTTCAAAGA